AAGGTAGTCTTTCTTACAGGTACTGTGGAACGTTTAGACAACATTTGACGTAGTTCCGACTTCTTCCTTGCAGAAACATTATCTAAAAAATACAATGATGATAATTAATCCATATTCTTACAAACGCGCAAACAGATTGCAAATTTTACTTCATCGTGTTAAAATACTGTTGAGATACGTCAGTTGCTAGTGATTGTAATGACTTTAACATACAAACAGAATTTGCCGAAAGAAATGGGTTGATATTTATAGCTAAGATCCATTTTGTTCCATTGCGAACACATAATAATAAAAGTCAACGATCTTACATACCCGTTTCTTTCGTACTTGCATTGAGTTTTTGCTTTCTTAAACGATCGGACAGTGACAAGACGTCCTCACTAAAAAATATCGCAAACATTACCAAATTACAATTAATTTTTGAAAGATAATTGTATTTATTATTAGCATTAAACAAAATTTAGGTTATTGGACATCTCAGAAATCGTTTCCACGCAGATAATCTATGGAGAATATCTACCTTTCAGACACTGAATCTTCTTTCCGATCCCAACGGTTAGTTCTAATACTTCCATTGTTCACCCTTCTTGATATTGCTTCGAGTTGCAAGGACTGGAAAAGCGAGTGTTAAAATATTTATTAGTAACAACAACGACAACAACAACGACAGCGTCAGCGACAACGACAGCAACAACGACAGCAACAACGACAACGACAACAGCAGCAAAAACAGCAGCAGCAAAAACAGCAAAAACAGCAGCAGCAGCAGCAGCAGCAGCAGCAGCAGCAGCAACAACAACAACAACAACAACAACAACAACAACAACAACAACAACAACAACAACAACAACAACAACAGCAACAGCAACAACAACAGCAACAACAACAACAACAACAGCAACAGCAACAGCAACATTCAATGAGCTATAGTATCACAACTACATGACATACTTGATTTCTGACAATATTTCGATTTTGTCTCATGGTCTGATAAATCGTATCCAAACATGGTGATTGCATTTTTCTTAAAAAAAAAGGAAAAAATATAAAATTTACATCTCGACCACGATATGCATCCAAAAAATACCTGTATATCAGAATATTAGCACTACTCTAAATATAGATAAACTAATGAATAAACTTTTATACTTGGTCATTACTATATTCAAATTTTCGACACGTTTTTCAAGCGGCAAACATGTATATAAACTTTAAAGAGTTTGTTTAGCGCTTTATCTGTAAAATTATGCTAAAATGTGGAGTTCTTGGATGGTACGCCAAAGAGAAAATGCTGTCTGAAGTTCAGTAAGTTTTGCTTATATTGCTGTATAAATATGGTGTCAATTTTACAGCATCATTAATAATTGTATTTAAATTGACAATATTTAACTGTCTATTATTAAAGGAATACCGAATGGTTTTCCGTGCAGGATTACGTGATCCATGCACGAGGGATGTCGCGAGACTTTCGGAAAGCGTAAAAATACTCGAGCCGCAGGCGAGTGTATTTTTACGCTTTCCGAAAGTCGAGCAACATCCCAAGTGCATGGATCACGCTATCCTGCTTAGAAAACCATTTGGTAATTGTTTTATAAAATAACTACAGTGAAACAATGAAATTTTGAGAATCCCGCGAAAATCCCGCGAAGGCATTTTAATTCCTCGTGCATGGATAGCCTCATCCTGCACGGCTATTGACCAATCAAATTGCGTGTTTCACTGTAGTTATTATATAATTTGTGTTCCTCAACCGCCAGACACATTCAAAAAGGTTGCTAACTGTGTAAACTACAAAATCTTTTTGGCGTTCCTCTCAAAATTACTTTGTTTGAACAAAGTAACGAATGCCAAAAAGATTTTAGGTTTTGAACACTTTTCATTGCAAATGCGCGACATTGAAAACAATTTCCTCTTAAAAGTATAGAAAAAATGAATGGTATTTATCAAGACATGTGATCTAAACCCAGCGGGCAAAATGACGTTTATCCAACGTTGAATCAACGTTGGAAATGACCTTCCAGACGTTGGATAGACGTTGAAAAAGGGTTGACTATGCAAATTGGATCGACGTTACTGTTTCGACGTTGAAACAACGTTGAAATTAGGTTGCCAATCTCGTCAACCATAATTCAACGTTGAATCAAAGTTAAAACAACGTTGAGATTGGTTCACAAATCGACGTCGTACATTTAACCATGAATGAACGTTAATTCAACGTCTGCTGGCTGCTGTTGAACCAATGTTTGTAAAACAACGTCAGAGCAACGTAGATATTAGGTTGTCGACGTCGCAACCTTTTTTCTAGCAAATTTCAACGTTGAAACAACGTCGTGTGCCCGGTGGGAAGTAGATAATAGTACGTAGATGTGCATTTGGTAAATCCAATTTTTTTCCGACGAAAGGCTAACCTTTTTTGCTTGTTCTGATTATCCCATTGCTCATCCAAAGCCATGTTCACCTCTCTGAAAATATCAATATCCTCATGGTTTGCAAGCCTTAAAGTATCGTTCACAGGGCCGTCTGACAAAATGTCCGGTGACTTTGAGGTCGGGCTATATGTATGATGATGTCCAGGGTTCGTAGTCTCCAAGACCAAAAAAATTTCAAATATTTTTTCTGCCTATTTTCAAAGAATTTTCAAAGCCCTTTGAGAGCAATTAGCTGTCGAAAAATTGCGAGTGTGAGCACCATTTTTACCAGGTAATTAGTCCCGTCAAATCACATCCTAAAATGCGCCTTTTCGTCGATATTTGCAAACGTCTTGCTTCAATCAATCTATTTTATTAGCTAGGAAATCGTATGATCAAATACTCACTGAAGAATTTAAAGACTTTTAAAGACTTTCTTCGCTTTTTCACACAATTCAAAGACTTTTCAAAGACCTTAAAGACCTGCATTCAAATTTAAAGACTTTCAAGGATTTCAAAGACCGCTACGAACCCTGATGTCCGATGACCTTCAGTTCAGTTTGGCTCGGAAATAAGTCTGAATGACACAAATTAATATCAGCGCAATGTATTATTTCTGAACGGTAAAAGTTGTGAAGATATTAAATAATTTGTGTCATTCATACTTATTTCCAAGCCAAAATTAACTTGCTTGCCAATAACAACAATAAGATCTTCTTTGACAACGTACGTATAAGCCCGTTTTCCACTTCACCATTTCGCTCGCCGTCCCGCGCTCGATTGCATTAAAACAACATTTCCGGTTCACTTTTCATACATCGTTCTGATTCTCCATTTAACATACGAGCTTATGGTCCACGACTGAGGTATATTTTGATTTACGTCGGACAAAGTTATAGTTAGGTCGGACACCAATACACTCGGGTCGAACAAACAATAAACCTCAGTTTCACTTTGGTGGGACAGAATGTCCGGTGGTTTCCTTTCTACGTCGGATAATTTCACAAACGGGTCGGACAATGTCCGTGACCGATCGACTTTGTAATTGTACAGTTTTAAAAGTGCACATGATACGATATTTTCTACACAAATTTTATGCATCACTTGAAAGTACCTTGAAAATAATGGCCTTTGGCTCAACGATTTATTCACAGCTCATCTCGTTCCCAAGTTTTAATATCGGGCATTGTGTATTTTTGTGTTACGATGTCACTCGTTGTACTTAACAGCTTAAGATGGCAGCAGTCTAATATTTCAGAAGTGTTTCAACGAAATTAAATGAAATTTGGTGCAGTTAAGTAAGTGCACCTAAGCAAACATTTTGGAACGTTTATGTGGTTGTCATAGCAACACACAATGGACGAGAACTTGGGTACGAGATAAGCTGTGAATAAATTGTTGAGGTCATTCTTCATAATTTTCAAGATACTTTCAAGTGAAGCATAAAAGTTTGGGAAAAGATTTCATGACATGTGCGCTTTGAACATTTGATTTTCTCTTTACATTTCTATACATTTCAAGTACTTAAAATGATTAAATAAAATACCTTAACTTATTATCCAAATGTAGATACGATGATTGAATTTCCTTCATTTTTCTTTCCGAACTGGGATCTAAACCACGATTCTAGGAACAATAATACGTGGATTACGAGCAGGTTCAGTCTAGATCCAAGGCCTTCTATTTATATTTCAGCTTTCTCACGTGAAAAGCCTGGAACCTAGGCAATTTGGAGGCGGGGCGAAGAAATTGCTAGCCTACGTCAGACTCTATCCTGCCCCGTGATGTCATTGAAATTAATTAACCTGCAAATCAAGCGCCGCCTGCCGAGCAGGGGCGGCGGAACCGGGGAGGGGCTAGGGGGGCTAAAGCCCCCCCCCCCCAGAAATAAAAGTGGGGGGGCTTAGCCCCCCAGAAAATTTAGTTTTTTCTGGAAAAATTTTGATAATTAAGGAAAAATTTAGGTTATTTTTTGAAAATTTAGGGTATAAGGGGAAAAATTTGCAATATTTTGTTTAAAAATTGTGTATTTCCGGAAAAATTTTTTGTTATATGTACGGAAAAAATTTTTTCATCCCTTTTCTTGTATATGTCCGGAAAAATTTTTGTACCCCTAAAATGGTACACTGACCGAAATTTTTTTGGCGACGGGGGGGGGGGAGGTCATGGAAAAAAAATTTAGCCCCCCCCAGAATGAAATCTGTTCCGCCGCCGCTGCTGCCGAGTAAGACCCTAGGTCTAGCCTGCAGCTGGTTATCATTTGACCGACTCAACTGGAGTCCTCCATTCACAAAACGAAATCCTCTATTCAAACATTCATTTCGAAAGGAAAAATAAAATTTCGCCACTGAAACGATTAGCAGTTTTCCGAAAAACATTTTCAAACCTCAAGACTGTTTGTGATTGAAAATTTACACTCTAGAAACAAATTACTATGATCAAGCATTTAAGATTCGCTTTTTAAAAATTGTACAGTTTTTTGTCCAGCTAGAAAGTTCAATATTTTGAAATATTAGTTAAGAAGTAAGTTCTTACTTTGAGAAGTTGAAGATAACGTGGATCTGTTGTAGTGTTATCACGAGTTCTGAAACAAGAAAAAATGTTCTTGTGGGGTTACAACTCAGGGAAATTATATTAGATGGTACAACTAAAAGTTGGCAGGAATCAAACCTACAATATTTTGTTTGCTAGTTCAATGCTCTACCAATCACTGGATTGAAGATACCACGGTCTACACAAACCTACTTGACCTCGTAACTCAGAGCTAATTCTTCAGCTTATTCTGTTAAAAAAAAACACAACAAAAACAACAAAACCAACGACGACGACGACGACAACGACGACGACCAAACAACACCACCAACACACCACCAACAACACCAACACCAACACCAACGGTTCAACAACAACAACAACGACGACAAGTACTTTTTTGCCACTTACTTTGCATCCTCAATCAGTTCAAATGCACCCAAATACGAACTCTTCGCGCGATTAACATCGTCTTCCAGACCCTAAAACAATTTAGTGCATATTGCGTCATTTTACTACAAACGGGAGTAAGTGTTACAGGGCAGCAGATGGTGATTAACCTCAGAATTAAGTCAGAATTTAGTGTTCACGTTTAGAGTAGCAAGCAAACTGACTACATCTCTTAATTCTATTTATTTTCCACCAGATACAAGACTCCTGTATATAATGCAAAGAAAAAACAGTGACGTCGTTAGCAAATTTTTATTGGGGGATTCAACCAAGGGAGGTCGGAGACATGCTCCCACAGAAACATTTTGCGTTTCCGACGCATCATTTTCATGTTTCCTGAGAGGAATGTTTATCAATGTTATGAATTTTTTGCATTTAAGAATTCAAGATTTTCTGTAATTTACTTTATAACTCTTTTTACAATTTCATTCTCCCAGTTTGAAACAACGTTTGCTCTGTATTCAATCACAAGTATGAATGAATTGGTTTTATTCGTACTGATATATACACAATATCAATATAACAACAAACTGTTGCGGATGAGGTGATTGTAATTGCCGGTGCAGGAAAGAAATAAAGTATAAAAAGAAATATAATCCTCATAGGTCTCTCTCCTCCGCAGAGCCTCAAATAGCTCTGCCTGATAATGCGACGAAGTATGGTTTTTGAACCAAACTAGTTGTTTGACCTTTTTTAAACTTGAAATCGACGGAAATGTGAAAGAAATTGAAATGAATCTTCATAATCTGAGTATCGAAGTTCAATAGAGTCATTTTCATAAAGAAATGTTGCAATTAAAGAGGATATTTATAATCAGATAGCTCGTATCCATTGATATTCGTTTGCAATTTCTCAATACTTTTCGATGCAAATGGACAGAAGAAGATATTGATATTGAATTCACCCCAGGATATACTCAAGTACGCCTGAAAATGAAAGTCGAAAACATGCTTTAACACCCCCGATGGTTGATCGAACTTCGCTACAAACGATTATATATGACGCCATATTGATTGCATCAACTCGCAGAGGCTTCCTTTATTTAGCTCTTCACATCACTCCTTGCATGCTCACTTTTCCCTCACTAGAAACTTCATGTAAGCCTCTGCGGGGGAGAGAGCCTCATAGGTGAGGAAATTATAGGGGAGGCCTCGCCTCCGACGACCCTAGACATCACTTTCTCACACTGGAAACTGCTTGTTATAACCACCATCAACCATCTGGTACATAAATATAAGGGGCACACAACAGACAACAAACAAACGGGCGGACAGAAAAATCGCATAAAATCAATCACATTAGTTCTTAGAAGTATTCCACAAGCCTTTAATTAAACAATTACACACCTCAACAGCGCTTTTAACTTGATTCATAAACCGTCTGTTACTGTTGACTTGCTTTGATATTCCCTGGGTATTTAGCTCCCTCAATAATACATCCAACTTTCTCAAATCATCATATCTATTTTTCGCTTCCTCCATTTCTTTGTTGAACGCTTCCACCTAAAAAATTCACTGCTGTGATTAGCATATAAAGCGCATTTGGTCACATACAAGCGGTGCAGAAACTCTGCGAAATATGATGGGTGCTCATATGAGCGCAACTAACCATGTTAACGCATATAAAATTCAGTTTGTATTCATGTAACGAGGACGCCCAGTTAGGTGAGATCTCATCTCGCGTGGAGTGGCATCCCAAGCAAGTGGGATACATTTTCCATATGTAAACTTCGTCTCACATGACCGGGATGGAAATTGCTTCCCGATTTTGATACATAATTGTATTTCACAGCATATATATATATATATATATATATATATATATATATATATATATATATATATATATATATATATATATATATATATATATATATATATATATATATATATATATACAACATGTTATATATATATATATATATATATAACATGTTGCTCACAGTTTCAATTTTAACTAAACATTTTTCGAAGACATAATTTTGTTCCATATGAATACAAAATAATTCACCACAATCACGTAGGCACACTTTAAGCTGACTTTAATATTTGCTTTAAAGGTCCCCATAAGTGTAATGCAATGAATATATATACCGCATTTTTCTCAAACTTGCCTCGTTGCGAATATTCCTATGCATAGCGGCCTCCAGTTGTTCTTGCTTGGATGGTGACGCCTGATGAATTAATACAGTCAATGTATTTTAATACAATTAGAGTGAATGTATTTTGAATACAAAAGAATACAGTAGAACACAATACAATTGAATACAATAGAATACAATAGAGCAGAATACAGTACAGTACAATATAGTGCAGCGCAGCGCAGTGCAGTGCAGTGCACTACATTGCAGTACAGTACAGTACAGTACAGTACAGTACAGTACAGTACAGTACAGTACAGTACAGTACAGTACAGTACAGTACAGTACAGTACAGTACAGTACAGTACAGTACAGTACAGTACAGTACAGTATACTACACTACACTACAGTGCAGTGCAGTGCAGTGCAGTACATTGCAGTACATTGCAGTACAGTGCAGTGCAGTGCAGTGCACCGCGGTACAGATTTTGGTTCTTCTTCTTGAAAGGTTGGGCTTTGATAGATAGCTAATTCCGGGTCAAACAAAGTATGAAATTTTAAAATGAGTTTGTAGGTTTTAAAGAAACATAGACGTAATTTGTACAGGACGAGCCGTTGTTTCAACATATTTCCACCCATAGTCGCTTCAGCTACCCTCGCATAAACTTGACTTATTTTACCCACGATGTCTATTGAATTAGTTGACGTATACAATAGCTTATAAAAATTAGATTAATCGCTTAATTATTACCTTTGCCAGAGGTTTCCCTTTTGACTCTTCCTTACTGCCGGGAACGACGCCATCTTTCTTGACACCCACAGGCGTTCCTAGATTGGGAGTTGGTTGCATGGTCGGTGGGGGTTTAGCATTGGTCACTGGTGGGGTTTTAACAGGGGTGGTACCCCGTACGTCGGGTGCTTTGGTCGTTGAGGGAATGGTAGATTTATGGGTAGGATCAGTTTTGGGGGGAACGTTTGGCTCGGTCGGTTTCGTCGTCCGCAGTCCGCTAGTAGACGATTGCGCTGAAGACGGAGTTGACGCTGTAGGCGGTACGAAGCTGAGTGGTCCAGATTTTGAAAGCGTAGAACCCTGGCATAAATACAAAGAAGACAGTTTAAGAAGAACATGGTTATTGCTGCTTGAACAACCTTTCATTTACAATTATACTATAATTTATCACTATAAAAATAATATAATTTTGTTGAATAAAAAAGAACAGATTATTTTATTAAAATTCATACCGGGCTGAAAAATTTCGCATGTAATTGGAATCTCCGTTTCACAATTCAGGGTTCATTCAAATTTTTGTCCCCCTCCCGCCCTAATAATTTTTTTTCGTCCGTACGCCTATGGTAAAATTTTTTTCATAAACATTTAAAAAATATAATCCGATTCAATATCATGAAAAATACGTGAAAACCAAGTGAAAATACTCACAAATCCAGACTGAGTCAAGGGAGGATTTTGCGGTGGACGAAACTGGAACAAACCGGTTTGACCTGGTTTTGCACTGGGAGGTAAGCTCACAGGAGAGAATGATACATTGCCAGGATTGGTGGGCATGCCGGCCAAGTTCGAGCCAAAAATTTTTGTTGAGCCAAATGAGGGTAGCGTAGTACTTGGTGGAGTTCCAGTGAAAGGCGTGGATCCAAATTGGGGTGCTCTGGTGTTGTCAGGCAGTACAGAGGGTTTGGAGGTGACAGCAGAGGTGCTAGTCGTGGTCAGCTTGGTTGCTTGGGTAGCTTTTGATGGCCCAAATGTTAGTGGTGTAGTATTCGGCTGAGCTCCTGTCAGGGGGCTGAACCCAAATTGGGGTGCCTTAGTGTTGTCAGGGAGTACAGGGGGTTTGGAGGCGGTAAAAGAGGTGCTTGTTGTGGCGGGTGGATTGGTTGCTTGGGTAACAGATGGGGTAATTGCCTTGGTTGGAGGCATTGTGACTGGGGCGGCTTGAGTAGCTAGGCTACCTGCAGGCTTTGGAACACCTGTAAAAGTCAAAGTGGAATATGTAGTTAAGCTCTGTTAAGACATGATCATATATACCCACTCAGCCAATCGCATGTCCGTCTTTCAGCGGGCTATATCTCATAAACTGTCTCATATAGTGCGCTTCATAGCAATTACAGTGCGTTTGTGTGATCATTAGTATTCTCTATATAGAGCATACTGATCAGTTCACTAAACTCACAGCGAGTTTTAATCGGTAAAAACATTACACACGCAGTATAATAAAAAATACTTCCCAAAAATATAAAGAAATAATTCTTCGTAAATGTGATCATGTTCTAAGTCGGGTGGACAATCAGACTTGAGTTCAGTGGGATATAGATAATTATATTGCTGTATAAATACGGCGTCAATTTTACAGCGTTTAAATTGTCTATATTATTTTGTGTTTTTCATCCGCCAGGTGGCTAACTGACTGTGTAAACTACAAAATAAAGCTAAAACAAAGCATTGAAAGAATGCTTTGAAAAGTGTTCAAAACCTAAAATCAGTTTGGCGTTCCTCTCAAAATTACTTCAGTCTTAGCTTCATTTTGTAGTTTACATAGTTAGCAACCTTTTTAAGGTAATTCCGCAGTAATTGTTCCCGAAATGAGAATGTGCTGAAACTTCCCAGGCATGGAGTTTATGATGTACTTAAAGTAAAATCACACAAAAAATTCGGGGTCACCGAACTCGTCAAGAAGATATGACAATCACAATATACCACCTTTACCCCAATATGGCGCCATCTTGACGCTCATTACGAGTAACAGCAAACTCACAACAGCCCGATATTTATTGACGTTTTTAGCGCGGATTTTGCTATAGTAAACCTATCTTGTAATTATTTTTGAAAAAATATTGCGTTTTGAGCAAAATGAAACTACTAACGTGTAAAATTCTGATCCACAAATGTCTTTTCCACATTTCTTTACATATCTTTCTTTGAGAACATGCATTGATAAAGCATTTTTTTTCAAGACCCAGAAATGATTTTTCTTTTAATTTCGGATATGAAATGTAAAATGCATTAAAGAAATAAATTATCAGTTAAAAAACGGGGGTCACCGATCTTTTTAGGGAATTGTGGCATTAAAACGTGAAATACAAGTAAATAATTATAAGGGGCCGATTACATGGAGCATTTTCAACCCCGGGGTTGAACTCAGCCCTGTTAACCGGGTTGAAATTTTTTGCGATTACATGGACGATTTCAACCCCGGGGTTGAAACGTTATACTATACGTTCTCGGCATCGATTCGCGGAAGTAAAAAAAGCCTGTATTTTGTTTTCTTGTAATGAACAGTCACTACCACGTATGCTCGAATAAGTCATGATAATTTCAGCCCTGGGTTGAAACGATTACATGACAAAATTTTCAACCCAGGGCTGAGTTCAACCCCGGGGTTGAAGGTTGAACTCAGCCCTGGGTTGAACATTTTGTCATGTAATCGCGCGTTTGATTTTGATAGAGTTTTGTATTACAGACAGGGCTGAAATTTCAACCCGGTAAACAGGGCTGAGTTCAACCCCGGGGTTGAAAATGCTCCATGTAATCGGCCCCTAAATATACTACAGACTTGTCATAAAATGATTTTTTTAAACGGTACGTATAATGGATGAAATTATAAGTTATAAGATGTGCGCGGTAAAAGTGTGCAATGCAAAACTACGGAATTACCTTAAATGTATCTGGCGGTTGAGAAACACAAATATAAATACAATTATCACTGACAATTGACGCCATATTTATACAGCAATATAAGCAAAACTTACTAAACTTCATACATCACTTTCTCTTTGGCGTACCATCTAAAATCTCTACATTTTAGCATAATTTTACAGATAAAGCACTTAACATACTTTTTAAGTTTGTTTGCCGATTGAAAAACGTTACAACATACGAAACAACATACGAAACTTACGAACAAACGTTTAACATACGAACATTTCTTCTCTTAAACAGAAAAAAGAAATTTCACTAATTTTGATGAGATGTTTTCAGCAGTTTTGTTGAAATTTCATTTTTTTGCCTTAATAAAGACAGTCAAAAAGGTCCACTGACGCGATAAATACCTGAAGAACTCGCCAAACGTTCCCCGTCTACTGCCAATGGTTGAGGTGGATGACAGATTCGTGTAGCTAACTTAGAATTCTTGTACACGATGTAAAATGGACAAAGAACTCCGTCCGTTGTCAACAGGAACAATATCGGTGCTGGAGGTAATTTTTGGTCATCTAAAAGTTCGTTAAAACACGTTTCAAACTATTTATCTTTCATGCGAGGCTAAATTGTTGAAATCTGAAAATCCTAGGGTAAAGGCTTCACAAGAGGAAAGAGCCTGGGAACGAGGTTGGGGTGAAGGCGGTTTAGGGTAAAAACCGGAAACCGTCTGAAAAAACACGAAAAACATTTTTTATAACTTATTTATACCAGCTGCAAAAAAGTAAATAATTATACAGTATAATAATCACGTGTTAAAAGATAATAATCACGTGTTAAAAGATAATAATCACGTGTTAAATGAATAATAATCACGTGTTAAAATAAAATAATCACGTGTTAAAAGATAATAATCACGTGTTAAAAGATAATAATCACTTGTTAAAAGATAATAATCACGTATTTAAAGATAATATTTTTACAACTTATTTATAACAACTGCAAAAAAGTAAATATACAGGCATGAGAAACCCTACCTTGTTCTAATGGTCTGGTGACAGCGAAAGTAACAGCCATACCCAAGGGATATGTTTCTTCATTATCATGTGTCGTGGGTAGTACCGCTTGACCCGAGTCAGGAAGCACCCACTTCGCCCACGGTCCCTGAAAAACAAGGAAAATATGATGTGTTCCACCAGGGATGGATCCAGCCAGATCTGGTAGAAGGGGCAAGGGGTGAATTGGGGTGCTTGTGCTCATCAAGCTTTGGTCAAGGCTCGTGCTGATATCTTAATAACGAAGTGCGTAATCACTAGAGAGAGCTACAGCGGTGAGACACTAGTCAGTCTGTACTCTTGCTTGACAACTTTACAAACGAATCATATTTCTGTCTCATTGACATCCAATAGTTATGAAGGTTGTAAACAGAAAAATAGCCAACCGTTTTGCTTTATTTTGCTCACATAAAAATTTTTGATACCTGACGAAGTATATTGATCCAGTCCTGGGACTCTATCAAAATTAATTCAGTCCTTGGCTAGATCAAAATTAATTCACCTCACTTTAAGTAGTGATTTACTCGTATGAGATGTCATTTCAAGTCCTCCAATTTGAACTGGACTAGATTTCAGGTCGGTAACTGACTTTGCTATGCTTTCATCCAGTCGGTAACAGACTTTGCTATGGAGTACCTGATATACGTTTACTATAAAGAGTATAAAGTACAAACCTGGTCAGTTTGGTTAACTGTGACCACCTCATAAGCACCAGAATATAATGAAAGAATAAGCTTCCTAAGAATTCAAGAAAGACTTGAAATGTCTTAGTGAGTTTAGTGACGGCTTGCGGAACAGAGTCGGACTTATAAATTATGTTCAAATAAGACGCAAATAACTTTTTTTACTTATTAGCTATTAATGTGGCTTGTCACGTGTACAGTGTTTTTATATTAAGTAAAATTGAAACTGTACATTGATTTCATTGCATTTAAAGGACATTGGCAAAAAAAATTAGTTTGTCTCATTCAAAAGAACTCTTAAAATTATATATTAAACTCTGTTAAAGATTTGTCATATCTTGCTTAGTTCTCGAAATATTTAGACTGAAATTAATGAGCTTTCCGCCATTTTGGAAAAATTCTTTACCTCATTGACTATGGTTTTGATGACGTCAGGAGTTGGGTTATCCATATAAAACTACTCTAAAATGACCGAGTAACAATCCAAAATTGTTTGAAATGTTTTTAATCATTTCAAAATTTCAGACAGTAACCAGAAACGAAGTTTTGGACCCATATTGATCGCTTACTCTCAAGATAAAAAAATAGCGTGACCCCTCTCTTGACGTAACATGCATATCCTCAATAATCCAAGATGGCGAAAAGCTCACTTTTTTCAGTCGAAATATTTTGAAAACTAAGCAAGATATAAACAATCTGTAATAGATCTTGTTTCTAAAACTTTCACCTTTGTTGTTCATAACTTATTACTTATTTTTATTTCTCAAGGATTTATACAAAAGGTTAATTTAATTTAATTTGCAACGTTTCGGACATTTTAAATGTCCGTCTTCAGGCGACAATTGTTGTTGTTATCACAGAGTAGATAAGACATACAGAGACGTAACTGACCGTTGTAAACACTGCGGAAGATTACGTTTTCATGTACCCACTTTTCTTCAGGCGACCGGGCGAAAAGTGATCAACTGCGCGTGCTCAGCAAGTTTAAAGTGAGTCGTCATCAGGTCGTCATCCAACCAGATGCATGCATCTAGTAACTTGCCGAGCATGCGCACAAAAAAAGTGGGTACACTAGTTACGTCTCTGTATGTCTCTACTCTGTGATGTTATGTTCAAAAATGCTGACAATTTAACTTAACTGTCAGTCGCGTCATTTTGCGCGTGCGTCAATATGCACTTGCGCGCGCGTGTTCTTGTTTACACGTTCCTTCTTAAAATACTTATTTAACAATGGTCTCCACATCACCAATTGTTCGAAATTATTCAAAACCGTGTAGCCATTATATTGTTCTCTTACTGTCGTTCCAATTGAAGTATTGCTCAAATATTGATTCAATACAATTACCTCGGGCTGACCAATTCATTTGATCAAGTTCCTCGAGATATTCATACACTTCCTGTGAAAGAGCCAATTCAAGTATTTGATAATTTCTGGTCACTTCCTTTCTATTTATGATTGGTTAGTTGCACAAACAACAAAGGTGATTGGTGCATTCAAACTATTCAGCAGGAAGTTTACAATTATACTAGGAAGTGTATGAATATCTCGAGGAACTTGATGAAATGAATTGGTCAGCCCGAGGTAATGTATTGAATCAATATTTGAGCAACACTTCAATTGGAACGACAGTAAGTATTAATACAGTTATATATAGTCAACATTAATTTAGATGTTTAAGGTAGAATCCAATGGAACTTTTTTAAACCGTCCGAAATCTGTATCTGAAGCACTTACTTTTCTCGGGATTGTAAATTTTCCTCAAGTAGAACCCTATTCCTGAATATTGGCGGGTGAGTCTAAAAAAAGAGCGAAATATTTTATTAGTATATACAAATTGATAGACAAGTTGTTACAGGTCTGCAAACAAGTTGTTACAAATCTGTTCTCAAGTTGTGTTCGCACTGCTTGTTCCCAATTGTTGTAACAAGTTTATAGCAAGCTGTTGACAACTTGTAACAAGCTTTACGGCATTATCAGCCTTGTTACAAGGTTGTTCTATAACAAAGTCTGATACAATCATAATATAACGAGAATGTTACAAGGCTGACGACATAAGATTGTAACAATATTGTTATATCATGGTTGTATCAGACTTGCTGGAACAACCTTGCAACAAGTCGGATAGTATCAACAAGGTTGTTAAAAGTTTTTCCATACTTGTTGACAACTTGCGACAAGCAGTGCGAACACAACTTGTTGACGGCTTGTTGGCAGACTTGCTGCAAGATACAAGTAAAAATCTCACATCTTGTAACAAGTCTGCCAACAAACCGTCAACAAGATGTATTCGCACCGCTTGTCACAAGTTGTCAACAGGTTTGGAACAACTTGTTGACAACTTGTAACAACCTTGTCGAAATTATCAGACTTGTTGCAAGGTTGTTCTGACAAGTCCGTTACATGCATGCTTGGTAAAACAAGATTGTTACAACCTTGTGTTGACAACCTTGTAACATCCTTGTTATATCATGGCTGTAACAAACTTGTTAGCACAGATTTGTAACAAGGCTGATAATGCCATCAAGCTTGTTGCAAGTTGTTAACAGCTTGTTTCAAACTTGTTACAACAAACTTGGAACAAGCAGTGTGAACACAACTTGTTGACAGCTTGTGAACAGACTTGTAACAACTTGTTTGCAGACTTGTTACAACTTGTGCGTTTTTACGTGTGTACCCATGAACTTACTTTGATTTAATGAGATCGTTCACGTGATCATGCAACCATGGTCGGATCAATTTCACATGCTCATGAACATGTTCATCCTAAATGGACATTATGTAACATATGAAATTTTAAATATGAATATTATTCATGAAAAGTCATTGAGATCAATGGTGAGTCTTAAGAATTAGGCAAAATTTCTGGAGCCGAAAATTGCCTCCGTTACGTAACAGATAAAGTATGAGCGGCCGTGTTGTATCAGATATACAAACTCGAGCCAAGGCCGCCGAGAGAATTCGCAGGGCCCGAGGCAAATATTCTCTGGAGAAGTCAGTCACCCAAATAGACTAAGGCTAGACTGCATGTGGACCTACTGTAAGGGGGGACCTCAATTTCAAAAATGCTCTGATCAATTTAAAGAACCTACTCAATTTTAGGTTCTCTCACGTTGGGGCCCTATTAAGGTGGGGGCCCGCGGCAATTTTTCCCTGCCCCCCTCCCGGCGGCCCTGACTCGAGGCGAAGGCGACAGGTCGTATGTCTGATACAACACGGACTCGAATGCTTTATATAGCTTGTAAAACGTCTCGATGACAACATACAACACGGACTCGAATGCTTTATATAGCTTGTAAAACGTCTCGATGACAACATTCGTATTCTTCAACAATTTAAAATAAATTAATGATATAATTGGTGAGAAAATTAAACTTAAAGTTTATGTAAATAATCATGATTCTGTATCAGATATACAAACTCCTTCACGCTCATGATTTCTTTGTGTTTTCTTCACGAATTATCAATGAGTTTCACAAGATGTGTTATGGATTAACTGAGGATGAGATGTATAATCAAATTGTGAAGAATGTCAAGTGTGAAACTTATCTTTTTTTTCGTGAGAAGATCAAACATAATACTGTTACAGGAATCAAAAATTAAAAGTTGGGAAATTTTGCAATTAGTATGAAAATTGGATTTCCATAGTTTTCCAACGAAAATGCATGCTATTTCCACAGTGAGGATTTTGAAAAAAATTCCAGTGTGTACTACATTGTGGTGACTCGGTGTTGCCATTAGAGCTGTGCGGTTCCAAAAATTTTATCTCGGTTCCGGGTTTTTTGGAACAGAAAAACCTCGGTTCGGTTATTTTCAAAAAAGAAGAACAGTGCAAATGTATGAACTCATTTATGTACTATGTTTCGAGCAATTTTACTAAATAGATGAATTTATGCCTTTGTAAGTTTGTATAAATCTCTGAATATTTTAAAAGAACAATTGGAATTTATTTACGAACATGAAATATTTCTTTTTTAAGCAAGTGCACAACAATAACTATCACAACTAAAATATCAACTATTTGAGCACTTATAGTACAGTGCATATTGTGCACAAAGAGCACAATCTTGTTATTTTCCAAACATTTCAACCTGCAATCAGGTGGGCGTTTCGCGGGCGTTAAACGGGAAATTAAAACCGAAACTACCGATTCTTTTGCGTATAATTTTTCGGTGCTAAAAAAGTACCGGAAGAACCGAATTTTTCGGTTAACCGCACAGCTCTAATTTCCATCATAGCAACGAGGTTGATCTGACAAAGCATTACTTACGAGGTTATGCGGAGAAAATAGCTGCATTCCGAATATTCCATATTCCTTGATTTCCTTATAGAGCACAAGTATAAACTTGCCCATAATAAACAGTTGACATAATATCGTTGGTATCTTTGGTAATATCTCAAAAACATATTGTGCCCACGTCGTAATGCCCTAATAATTGATAAATTAAAATACACGTTGTCAAAAAGAATTTTTAAACTATGACAAAATTGACAATTATTTACCGCGACAATGAGGTGAGTAATTGTTTTAGCATATACCACAACAAAACAAAAATAACCAAAACGCAACGAAAAATTTTAAAAACAGCTTAAATTGATTAAACCACTTATACTCTATGGCAGTGTATCTTGGTCAGGATGTTGTAGTAAAGAGAACATTAATATGATTTTCAAGCTGCAAAAGCGATGTGCCAGAGTCATTCTCGATGCCCATCCTCGACACAGCAGTATCGACTTGTTCAGCACTCTAGGTTGGGTACCTTTTTATGTCGAGGCTGATGTTAAACGTTGTCTCATGGCATATAAAAGGTCAGCTGATACCTGTCCAGATTACATCAAGGATCTGTTGATATTGAACGGTGTTCAACATAACAGAAACACTCGCAGTGCTCTTTATACAATTTTGCCACCGATGCAATGTATAACAGAGTTAAAGAAGGAGGGTGTACTTTTTCGGTAACTACAGCCAAATGCTGGAACTACCTACCTCTTAAGTTACGAACCTGTAGTTCCATTTATATTTTTAAGAAAGAATTATACCGGAAACTTAAGACCAATCAACTTAACGATAAGGTTTTTAATCCATTTTTAGATAATCTTTTATAGACACTATATTATATATGTAGATAGCATGCTCTATTGTTGTTTTACTGTTGTTACATAGCATATCGTGAGGGCCACAAGTTTATTAGTTGTAAAACTATTATGTGTTAGCCTCGTTAAATAAAGTTTAAAAGAAATGAAATGAAATTCCCAGGGACCAGGGTTGTTTGCCATTTACATGGAAAACCCACCCGGTTTGAAATTGTGCTAATGGTAAGCAAAATTTCGGATAGAAAATCCCATTCCGATTATGCGCCTTCCATTTAGAGTGACTGACCGGAAGGCACTGAAGGGTTGTTTACCATTTACATGGAAAACCCATCCGGCTTGAAGTAAATCGCGAAGAGCCTGGAACTGGTGAAAAAATTTTAAAAGATGTAAATGGAACAAAATTCACCGGTTGAAACGTTCCAATCGGTAAGAGAGGACAACCATTGCAAACAAACCGTTCATTCCGGAAAAGTTCCGGTTAGGCCGTTGAAACTATGCTTGTTCCATTTACTTTCCGTATGGAATCACCGGAATTTCCGTGTAAATGGTGAACAACCCAACTCAACAAAAGCCATGGCGGCCATGTTGGTGTTCCAGTCTAATTAAAATTCTTTTCAATTGGAACACCAACATGGCGGCTGTGACGTCATGTGCAAACGCTCAATTTGTTTTTATCCAAATAACAGGGGCGGATCTAGCCTCATCTGCAAAAAGGGGTGCAGGTTTTCCATGGGGTGGTACATAAGGTTCTCCTCTGCAGTCTGCAACGCTACTATCCCAGCATTATCATTACTTGAGATGACCGAATGTGCATGTTCGCCGTTCTGTTACGTTTTACATTATCTCTTGTTTATAAAGTTATATCGGCTTGTTATTACGTATGCGGTTATTGGAAGAACAGTATATTTGAAAACATGGCTGCACAACAACCTCGACATGTTTACATGTTTAACCATGATATTCAGCTAAAGCATTCTGGGTATTTTCTCGTGAGCTCACAAATCAATTAAATCGTTTCAAGAAATCGACACACGCATAACATGTTGTAGACGTTCTGCTAATCGCTATTCGAAAAGCAGAAACGGTGGTGCTGGACTTCTCTAGGGGTGGGGGTGTTGCAGACAAACAGATGGGTGCACACCCCTTGCACCCCCACGATAGATCGAACAGTGACAACACTATATCCATCAGAATAATTCGTAAATTAAATGTGCAAATTATATATTGTAGGACTGAATATCGGTATTAAATCAATATCGGTATATCGATACCGGATATTCAACCATACTGATATACCGAAATTTCGGATATAACGGAATTTTTCGGTACACCGTGTTAAATTTACCAACTATATGACGAAACCATAACCTTTATTTTACTACTGAATGGCAATTCAAAGAACTTTCTACTGCAATGATTTAGAATTTCCACTTCAGTGAGATTTTACACTAAGTACGTGCATGTCGTTCGAAACACGTTCGAAACAGCTTCGAAATTATCGTTTTCCCTTTTAGAATTACTCAAAATTTCCTTCAAACTTCCATTAAAGAATTTTCCTTTATAGTTATCAAAGGAAAACCGGTATACCGATAATATCGGTATAATTTTTTCGGTATACCGATACCGGAAATTTCTCATACCGAACATTCCTAATATATTGTAAAGATCACTTAAAATGACTTAATAATTCCTTTTATAGAATTTTGGTAACTTGCTTCCTTTGCAAGATATTCAACTTTGTTCCATATGCAAATATCACCGGTGTGACATCACATCGCATAATGACATTTTGAAAACGCAATATTTACCTTGATAAAATATGTTTACAAACAAATACAGAGGGTTAATTAGCAGTTATGAAATTAATACATATACAAGGGCAATTTTTAAGTTTTTTAGATACGTATTCGTCAAGAAAACTATACTTTCCTGAAAACTCATTATGTGATGTGATGTCACACCGGTGATATTTGCATATGAAACAAAGTTGAATATAGTGATTTTTCTGTGTTGGTGTAATGTACTCAGGTGAATATGATGCTTGTGATGTTACTCTGAGTGTATATCCACACCGGGCAAGCTTAAAAAATATGCATGACCACGGTGGGAATTGAACCTACGACCTTTGGAATACTAGCCCAATGCTCTGCCAACTGAGCTACGCGGTCAGGATGGTTCGAGTAAGTGATATTTCGGAACAGAATCTAGTTCCTTCGATATCAATGTACACCAACACAGAAAAATCACTACTGATTATTAGATTACATTGATATCGAAGGAACCAGATTCAGTTCCGAAATATCACATACTCGAACCGACCTGACCGCGTAGCTCAGTTGGCAGAGCATTGGGCTAGTATTCCAAAGGTCGTAGGTTGAACTAGGTTCGATTCCCACCGTGGTCATGCATATTTTTCAAGCTTGCCCGGTGTGGATATACACTCAGAGTAACATGACAAGCATGAAAGTTGAATATCTTGAAAAGGGAGCAAGTTACCAAAATTCTATAAAAGAAATTATTAAGTCATTTTAAGTGATCTTTACAATACAACCATAAACGGTGAAATTTCGTGTCATAGGCACTTTAAAGAACCCCTATAGACATACTGTATATTAATAATGCCATTAATGGACAAAAATATACTTACATTACACTTTTGAAGATCTGCCGTCATTGATATAGAAAAACTGCAATAAAAACACAAAATAATTTCAATGTGACTATAATAAGTATCACAAAATGATGTTGGCATCATAGGTATCTTATATACACTAGATAGTGCATCTAATTATTCTGCAATTCAAAAATTGAAGCCGTGATTGCAGACTCAGGATATTCCCATGAAATGAGAAGACTCGTATGTTTTCTACTTCTTAAACAGGGAATTTAAACATTAAGTTAAACCTATTCCAAATACATTTTCAAACAATTCAAATGATGAAAGTTATTGTTGTTTTTTAAGCGTTTATTAGCGAGTGGGAAACTTCCGACATGGCCGCCATCTATTCAAATGGGGGTAACGCTGGAATATTCTTGGCTTCAATTTTACTAAAAGAGATGCGCTATCTAGTGTATATAAGATATCTATGGTTTGCATAAATACTTAATATATAAGACATATGTAGTGAGTGACTTGATGGCATGGGGAACCGTTGGAATTTTCAAAACAATGAAAAGAGTCTGAGGATGGTTCTGACTTCTGTAACAGTCGACACCTTAATGAGATTGACGTTTACAGTACTGCAAAAACTAGTTGTAGAACTTACGTATATGTGATTTGAAGTTTGCTGTTTGCAGTTCAAGATCTCTAGTAACCACATGTACCCTTATTACAGTTAATTACTAGGCTATAATAATTAGTATGTATTATCATAATAAATTCGAGCATACTTACTAGACAACAACGTAAGGAAGTCCCATCAAAGCTCCAATAATCCTGTGATATGATGCCAAACATCCAAAGTATGGATAATAAAGGAAAGCAACTTCGAGTGCAGTCCCAATGCTAAGAAATGCTACAGACGAAAAATTGAATGCTTCAATAAAATCGCAAGCTTATTCAGGTTAAGAGACATGTACGATAAAAAGAATTTGCATTAATGACCTAATTCTTCTATAACTAAATAAATAAATAAGCCCCCATCCTCTCTAATAAGCCTGCATAGCAGGGATCAATGTGAGAAAACTGAAAAGCATCTATACCAGCTCCCCAAACATTCTGTCCCACATCTCTGACAATGATCAGATTAGTGATTGATCCAGTGGCAGCTCCAAACACACACATGATGGCCAGGCGGTCATTATCAATACCAAGAAAATCTATAGGCCTACACAGGGTAAAAGCATTACGTCAAACGGAGCAGGATTTCAGATTTTATAAAAAACATCTTTTTGGTTTCATGACGTGCATGGGCAGTTATACAAATCTGGCTATGACTTAATTGTGGGTATAGACAAGTTAAAATGCGCGAGTTGTTACAGACTTGCAAACAAGCTGTTGTTAAGCCAGTATCAGGATGCGTTCACACTGCTTGTTCCCAGTCAGGAGTCGTCAAAACAAGTCTTATATTGCAAGTCCAAGTCAAGTCATTTCGTCATGCAACATTTAACAGTATAATTATTTACAACAACATATTATAATATAATATGTGTCCCAATCATTGAATGGTCCCAGTTAGCCTTTCTCACGATGACGAATATCCGCCATTTTTGGGTGGCATCAAATTTTCATTATCCAGTGCAGGCAATTAAAACAATGTGAAAAGCAATTTTTTAAAATAAACTAACCATTTACAAAGCAAATTTACCATCATTCGTCCAAACAATTATAAAAAGTTGCTGTTGTGTGGACTTATCTCGCAGACTTCGGCTGAAATGCCACCCAAAAATGGCGGCGTGAAAAAGGCTACGGCACCAATTACAGCGGCCCCATGAACTATGCTAATTAATACTACATTGTAGCCTAACAACAAACACAAATCTAATGAAAACACGATATTTGGCAGGACAGATTACGAGACTTGTTACAAGACAAAAAATTCCCATGTCCTTGGATCATCAACGTCGAAAAGTCTTCCAGCGCTAACTATAACTTGTAATACTTAGGGGCTGTTTATATGAGAGGCGGGACGGGACGTTTGCCGGAACGGGACGATTTATACATCCCGGGTTGAGAGCTGTTTACATGATCCCGCTTTGCCGGGACGAGATGTGAGGCGGGATGATTTTGACGTATTGAAATAAGTCACGGTGCACGATTTAGCAAAATCACATTATTTTTCTAGTAATAGATTACAGTATAATTGTAAACGAAAGGTTGTTGAAGCAGCAATAATAATCTTCTTGAACTACGAGATCTTCTCTAACAACATTTCAGTTTCTTTAACCGTTGTTCGAAAGTTCGTTTAAGCCTAGTCATTTATTTCAATACACCAAAATCATCCCGCCTTCCATCCCGTCCCGGCAACAAGTGTTTACATGGAAGAAAACGTCCCGGTTTAAGCGGGATCGCGGTTGCACAAACCGGGATCCCGCTTGCCCGGGACGGGATGAAAAACGTTCCGCTTCCATATAAACATCTGGTGATAAATATAATAGAAATTTATACGAGCCGAGATCCCGTTCATCGTCCCGTCCCGGCAAACGTCCCGTCCCGCCTCTCATATAAACAGCCCCTTATAGAAAGTCAATTTTTAAATTAATTGTCCCGCCTTTACTACTGTTATTGCTGTCAAACTCTAGACTTTGGTAGTACGTTCCATAATCTTTGTGTAGTTAAGAAATAACCTTTGGTAGGTAGTGGACTTGCATTAAAGGGAAATAGCAATATAAATTGTTATGTTCTCATTTGAAAGAACTTTTGAAACTATAATTTATATAATGGACCTTTCACCTTTTGACTAAAATAGTAAAATGTAGATCTCAACAAGTCTATAGACAAAGATTTTATCACAGCTTGAAAGAGCATCACAAAATTAGTAATAATCCAAAGTTTCGTTGCGAAATGTTGTAAAATGTGGATAATATAGCCTTGCGAAGTTTGCAATTTTCAGTCATTTTGTATTACGCGCGGGAAATACATACCTCCTTCGGAAAAAGAGTATGTATTTCCCGTTTGTAAGTTATCCAAAATGACTGAAAATTGCAAACTTCGCAAGGCTATATTATCCGCATTTTACAACATTTCGCAACGAAACTTTGGAATATTTCTAATTTTGTGATGCTCTTTCAAGCTGTGATAAAATGTTTGTCTAGACTTGTTGAGATTTGAATTTTAGTCAAAAGGTGAAAGGTCCATTATTAACTTCTTTCGCCAATTTTTCATGTCTTGCTTAACTTGACTGCGTAGCTCAGTTGGCACAGCATTGGACTAGTATCCCTAAGGTCGCGGGGTTCGATTCCCATCATGGCCAAGCTAACCTTATTTTGACTTAGATTAAAATTTAGTCTAACATGCAAGTTGTCCATTGGCACTGAAACAATAGAACGGACAAGAAACTCAGCACCATGTCCATGTGTGTAACTAAAAACCCACCACTCACCAGTCAGGGTCACTGTACAAATTGTACAAACTTTATGTTTGACTTGCGTTGGTAACAAGTCATTTCTTGCAAGTCCAAGTCAAGTCACAAGTCATTTTGTTCAAGTCCAAGTCACAAGTCGTTACCCTGATTAAGTTAAGTCAAGTCACAAGAATTGCGAGTCAAATTAGTCCAGGTCACTTAATTTGCGTCAAGTGTACAACTCTGTTCGCAGTCATTGTGACAATTAATTAGTCTGGAACAAGTTGCTATATCACCTTGTTGCAAGGTTCATGACGTTTTATCATGTAAAAAGTCAACTGCTAGAGACTGAACTTACACAACAAGCCCAGGTCGACCTCCCCAAACATCCTTTTTAAAACTTGTTCGTTTTCGTAAAAATGCCAATACGGTGATAATTATTCCCTGAAATAGAGCATAGGGGTTAGCCTTGACTGGCAACTCAAGTCTACCAAGAAAACAAGTACTAGCCTTACTTTTACTCATGAGTGACAGACATCCAAAATGACACTGTTTATCAAAGTATCAAATAGGGGTGCACCGGATTTGGAATTATCAAATCCGGCCGGAACCGGATTTGGACAAAAATTCCGGCCGGATTTGCCGGATTTGAGATAAACCGGTAATGGTCCCAATTGGGGATAAATCAGTATTCAAAATGACGGTTTATGTTTTTTACTATTTTTAGTTAGTGTCAGTTTAGATTTTTGATTGTGTTTAAACCTTTTTTAAACATCTTTTTGTTAATAACTTAATATTTTATAATAATATAAGTGTTTTTTTAAACTTTAAAGCTGCCAAATTGATGGTTTATATTTAATTGGTGAACTTTTTAAGGTGAAAACAGAAATTTAAATCCGGCCGGATTTTCTCGTTTTTTACTATTTTTAGTTAGTGTCAGTTTAGATTTTTGATTGTGTTTAAACCTTTTTTAAACATCTTTTTGTTAATAACTTAATATTTTATAATAATATAAGTGTTTTTTTAAACTTTAAAGCTGCCAAATTGATGCTTTATATTTAATTGGTGAACTTTTTAAGGTGAAAACAGAAATTTAAATCCGGCCGGATTTTCTCCAAATCCGGCCGGAAGCCGGATGCCGGAAAATTCGTTAAATCCGGCCGGAATTCCGGCCGGATTTGAAATCCGGTGCACCCCTAGTATCAAACAGGTCTTCAACAAATAACTTAACTCATTTAAAGCAGTTATCAATCCGGGGTCGAAATTTACGCTATATTCTGTATATGCCGGTAGTAAAATGTCTGACAGAATGGTATACTTCATGGTCTCAGTATTCCATTTATAATTATATAGTAGAAAAAATGTAGTATCAATTTATAATATATTACTAGTATGCAGGGCCGTAGCTATAGGGGGGTGGGTGGGGTGGGTGTGGGGTTGTGACAACCCCTGAAAATGCAAAATAATGGTTTTATCGGCAAATCGTTTTCATATATAATCAGCAAAAATATTTGAGTGGCTCAGATGAAAAAGTAATTTTATAGCAAAAAGTTTGATAAATTTATGAAAATATTACCAAAAGATTTAAGAAATTATGGTACATGAATTGGAAATTAGTTAGTGAACAATGGTATGTCTGGAAAATGTTTTTACTCCCCCCCTCCCCCAATCACCAAAAATTTTGGGGAAAAAAGATTAATTAGCGGCTGAAATGTTTTTGGCAAATGCAATATTACACCCCCTCGTTACGGTCCTGCTGGTATATGTTGAGGATAATTTTACTACTAACAACTGTTGATTTTGTAGTCGAATTTTTGCGCTTGCATTTAATTCAATTAGGCTTTCATTAACAAATTGTGGATCTTAATTCCACCGAAATAGTAAATTTCCAAAATCTGCTATTCCAGTTGCATAGTAGAAGCAAATGTAAATTTCTACCTCGATCTGTCAATTGGTAAAAATATAATGTTCAACTTACTGCAGGAATTAAAAATAGGTGAGGAAAAAAGGTTTTATCCACATCACATGGCACACTGGAAATAGACAAATTAATAATTAATTAATTTTAGAAATTAATAATTTATCACCATGCATGCATATACAATATCCTGATTGTAGAACTGTGTGTGGACTAAACATTTATCACCAAAATAGTAACAACATATTTTTGCACCCTTAATTAGTATGTATATAAATCTACATCAGACAGATGTTTTTAATATTAACCCATTAAGTTGCATTGCACCCTAATGCACCCCACTTTGTTATATTTTACTGTCTAACGGCAGGCAATTTTACTTGTCAAGGGAAGAGAACTGATGCTCAATGGGTAGGAACTCAACACAACATCATGCAGACAGGGTCAGAAATTTGCAGTATCCCTATATATCCACAGGATACTAAAATTTGGTTTTAAATACCAAATTGTGAATGACTTATATTCCAACTGGATACTAAGAAAATTTCAAACGAGAAAACTTGTTTTCGAGTGTTTGGATCCCCTGATGAAACACGAGAAACGAGTTGTTTACACAACATCTCGAACGAAAACATTTCATTGGCTTATATATATTATTATAGTATATTGTTGTGTTTTGACTTGAATTTGTAATTAGGATCTCAGTTATTAGATGAAAACCGTTTTTCATCTAACAACAGTGATGGTATATGATTTTTAGCGTGTTTCCTTGCGGTATCCAACCTCAATCATGTGACGAATTAGGGTGAGTTCATTCGCTAATTTGCTCATAAATTATTAATGAGTTCGAGATTGTTGAATCTCCTGTTGTTATTGTAATTTGTAACAGTGCGAGTAATATGGAAACTTAATTGGATGGAACAGGGCATAATACTTATGGTAACCAGTATGCAGTCAGAAATGGGATCGATTGGATTCTCAGGGGGGATACAAAACTTTCAATACTGGTATCCCCAGTTGAATACTGAGAACAAATTCAAATTTCAGACCAGTCAGATAACGGCTATTTTAATGAAAATACAATGTAAACTGTCTGCTTACAAGTGATATAATATTTGGGATTTTGTTATAGTGTCTGCATATGCAGCTGTTGTAAATATAGTAATACAATAGATGTTTGACCACTGGACCCAAAAATGGTGTCCACTAATGAGAGGTATCTGCATAGAGTAGGGGTGCACCGGAATTCGGTTCCGGCCGGTTAGTTCCAACCGGATCCCCGATTTTTTAGAGTTCCGGTTCCGGCCGGAACTAGTAAAAAAAGCATGGCCGGAACCGGAACTCTGTCGTTTTCAGGGAAATAGAATATCAAACGTTTTTGTGTCTCACAAAAGGTCACAGTAGGACGAAAGTTGGACTACGCAAGGGAAATATACACTATTAACACTTCATTATGACGTTTAACGTTTGTCAGTCTTTTTATTCTGATATTTGCGAACTCTCTACTTGATGATTTGAAGTGTCTGCTTGTCTGGCAGCGGACAAAGTAACATATGACTATATATGGCTTAATAAATTAGTTCTGGTTCCGGCCGGAACTTTTTTCCAGTTCCGGTTGGATCCGGTTCCGGCCGGAACTTAAAAAACCGGTTCCGGTGCATCCCTAGCATAGAGAGGTTCAATTGTTGGTTTTAGACCTCCAACTATACCCCTCCTCGCCCCTGCAGTGCTGACCATGCAACTCACCCAGTAGGAGGCACAGTTGTGATGTTGCCACTGATATTGCTCATTCCCAACTATAAAACGAAATTTTGAAGATACATCAGAAATTAAACAAAAAAATATGGTTGCGCCAATTCTGAATAATTGTAGTCTAAATGCAGGTGCACACATGCATGCGAGATTGTCTATTTGGCGTGGGTGGGTGGGTCGCGGGTACGGTGTTGAGCGTCGTATAGACAATGAAAATATTTTTTAAGACGGATAGACGACGGACGGATGGATGAGAGTGTAAAAATCGGACGGACAGGAGGGTAAAATGCGAACGGACGGTGAGGGGGTAAAATGCGGATATGAAGGCATATATAGAGTGGTATTTGTATTTTTCATGCAGAATTAAAATCCCAACCTTTGCAACTTTCATGCTTATTTTTCTTTGTTATCTGCATGGGTATGTAGTAATTTAATTTTATGCCACTATAATGTGCTGTTTTTCAAGGGCTTTTTAATGCAGTTATCATCCTAAAAGTAACATTCCCGTTGAGATATGACAATTTCAGTACTGCCTACTTTTACGCAAACGCGAATTACCGTGGCAACATTCATGCTTAATTTTCTCTGTTATGTGTGTAGTAATCCAATTTTATGCTACTATAATGTGCTGTTTTTCCAGGGCTTTTCAATGCAGTTATCGGTTTAAATATACCTAAAATTCCCGTTGAGATGTGACAATTTCAGTACGGCCTACTTTTACGCAAACGCGAATTACAATGGCAACATTCATGCTTAATTTTCTCTGTTATCTGTGCATCGGTATAGTAATCAAATTTTATGCTACTATAATGTGCTGTTTTTCCAGGGCTTTTCAATGCAGTTATCGGTTTAAATATACCTAAAATGTCCGTTGAGATATAACAATTTCAGTACGGCCTACTTTTACGCAAACGCGAATTACAATGGCAACATTCATGCTTAATTTTCTCTGTTATCTGTGCATGTAATAATCCAATTTTATGCTATTATAATGTGCTGTTTTTCAAGCGCTTTTCAATGTAGTTATTGGTTTAAATTTACCTAAAATTCCCGTTGAGATATGCGACAATTTCCGTATATATACGGCCTACTTTTACGCAAACGCGATTGCAATTGCCACTTTCATGATTTCCTCTGTTAAGACTGCATGTTATCCAGTCGTGTTGCATGTAATCTAATTTTATGCCATGAGTGTAATGTGCTATTTTTGAAGCAAGGCATTTTTTAATACTGTGGACTGGTGGGGCATTTGCCCCACTGGGCCCCTTCCTTTGCCCCACAACTGAAAAAAATGGCCTATTGCCCCAAAGCCAGGTCCCTAGGACTCGGTATGAGTAAATGAGTTTAACATTGAAAAAAAGTTTAAAAAACTAAATTTGTTGGTGCAGCATACTAGTAACTGAACTTATGTTGTGTTTGAACTGACCTTATGTTGTGTTTGAACTGAACTTATGTTGTGTTTGAATGTTTAGCATGCAATTTATTACAATTTTCACCTGATTAAAACTTTTTTAAAAAATGTGTCCTTAGAATGCACGAAATGCTATTTCAGAGACCCAAATTTTAAAACCATCACTAGCTAACTCGAGCCTACGGTACTCGGCTCACACCTTCGGCGATCGTATACTATCCTGCATGGGGGAGGACAAGGAGAGAATGGGCCCTTTAGCAATTTTGCCCCACCCTGACTGAAGAATCCTTAAAAAATGTACTGTTTTGAAGGACTTTTCAATGCAGTTATCCGTTTAAATACCTAAAGTTTTGACGAGCTAGTATACCGCCCAGATAACAGACAAAATTAAGCATGAAAGTTGCAATTGTAATTCACGTTTGCGTAAAAGTAGGCCGTACGGTTTTCAAAAAAATGTAGCGACACAGTTTTCAAAAAAATGGAAAATTTACCATTTAGATCGGTATTTTAATAAATTGTCAAAATAATTGAGTATACTAAAAAAAATTATTTTATGAAATAAAAATTGGGGGTAGGCTGTTGCGGTATTTGAAAAAAAAACGAAAACCGATACCGGAAAAAAAATATCGATAATACCGATATATCGATATTTTTTCGCGATTGTACATTTTGCTTAATTTTATGCAAAATTTGCTTAATTTTATGCAAAATTTTCTGTTTTCAAATGCTGCCAAACAGCCACGATATAACAGCTTTGACTCATCGGGTGCGTGATATTTTCAAAAAAGTGTGAGGCCAGTGATCAGTAGCCTGTGTTGTGTCCGCTTTACGAATTGAAAATGCATATTACTTAATATTAGCATTGATTACCGCACCGGATGAAACATGTGTGGTATTTTTGTCCGGGAAATTGTTTCAAAACATTTTATTCAACTGCGAGTTCGAAACAAAGATCGTCCTATATCACCAGAAAACTAACAATGTCCAATGAGGTTAGTTCTTGTTTTTCTAAAACATTTGTAATCCACCGTTGTTTACGTTCTAAAAGTTCACGAGCGAAATGACATGTTACCTATAACTAAGCGAAATGACATAATACCGTACCTTGCAACGTACGCCAACGTAACGTATAAACAAACACGTTTTAGATCGCGCTCTAACCTTAATTGACGGATTTTCCCGCGGAGTTACTTAGCACATTATAGAGTTTTAGATTGACGTATTTTCGTAATTCGCGCTAACCGCAAACGGCTAAAAATCACGTGACAGCCATCTTGCCGTCAGGTTACACGTTCGAAGTAGACGTTTCTACGCGAGGGAGGCTGTTTTCAGGTAGGTAGTTTCCCTCAAGGTTTTCATGCAATTTTTTGTTCTTTTTCTCGCGTATAAACATGGCATTTATGTTTATTATCACTATGACTTTCTCTCTTGAATAAAATAAGGATATGAAACTACTATCTTCGACTGAACTGTTGTGTCGAATTCAGTCGATGTAAATAAACAAAATGGCTGGCAAAAGCATAGCCCAAATGCATAGCTGATTAAATTGTTTTTGTTGTCATTTGTTTTTCTCATGATTTTGAGATTTAAATTTTACTCTTAGGCTAATTTTGTTGCGAATTTTATATAAAATCTGTTTGTGTCTAGTACAGAACTTGGAAAAATATCATCCACGAAACCCTTTCGGTGGCCGAGCTGCGAGCATACAACATGATCTTGCATTGGCTAGGGAGGTTGCAAGCTGCCGAACGCAAAAGCCAATGGATTGGGATGCTATTGCCCACCGGTTAAGTTTACATTTTGGAAGTTAAAACCTTAGGCCTAAATCTAAATCGTTTTTAAAATCCGAACTGCAAACTTGTAACGGATACGTCGACTATCGGTTTGCGGTTTGCCGTAATAATGAAGAACGTCAATCTAAAACTCTCTATTGTCGTCTTTGTCCTTCTGAAATAACTTCAATCAGCGCTTGAAAAAGCTTGATATGACGTTTAAATATACAAACGTAAACGTGACATCGATAATACCGAAAAATATCGATATTCCGATATATTGAAAATTCCAATATCGAGTAATCGGTATTTTGATAAAAAAGATAATTATCGGTATATCGATATACCGCAGCAGCCTAAATTTGGAGGTCACCGATGTCTTTTACAAGTTAAATTACTGTAATTAAATTCAACCACCCACAAGTTCACCGAATCTACCAGCATTTTTGCCAATGTGGTCATAGTTAATAGAGATGTGGCATATAGCTAAAAAGATTCGTGCAAAATTTTGGCAGTTCATGGTATAGTTCGGTTTTAAATTTTTTTGCGATTTACTGACGCACGACCCACGACGCACGACCCACCCACCCACCCACGCCAAATAGACAATCTCGTGGAGAACGGGCTTTAAACACTTATCTCTTGTATACTATCAAGAAAAATCCCTAGCTGAACAAGATGATACTGCTCTAATGCGCTAACATTTGACATATACTGACTTTGTATAAAGTGGGATTTTAATTAAACTGATCGTTTATTACGTCACAAAGCGTGGGAGAGGAGGTGGTTTTCTGATATCATTGAATCTTTACTCTCCAAAACCAAAGAATAACTTGAGGTCAAAATATTAACTCCACATTTGAATTTCACTCTCTGTAGAATTTAGCCCCCCCCCCCCCTGCCAATTGAAAATATAACATATGATCACAAATATATTCTATATCACAAAATATTCCGCATAAATTTTTAAAGCATCCATGCATGCATAGACGTTACAAGTAGAGTAGGAACGTGGGAATTATGACAATCATCCGTTGATCTACTATCAATTTTTATCATTATCTTTACCTTTCCCATTGCATGATGCATGACTGTTTGGACAGGAGTTATGCATTTATGCAACCCCATCACCCTCATGATCACTGACTTGAAAATGTATCCTTTCTATACTACAAGAAAGTCCTTAGTGTTAAACGTATAGGCTATCATTTGCGAGTGTTCGATGGAGTTCGATTCGCTTGTGGCGAAGTAGCCTGCGTGGCAGGCCCATTGAGCCTGTCACGCAGGCTAGTGGCGAAGTGATGATGATCGACGGCGTTCCTCTGGTGTGCCCGTCTAAAGTTCATCAATAATTGCGGGCGCATGGTGTATTTGTGGTCATCTCACTGATCTCTTTGCCAGGAGTGAAGAAGGCAAAAATATAAAAAATACATGTAAGAAAGCGGCTTCAACTAATTGTTTCACATAACCGATTGCAAAACTTTTTTTCAATTTTTAATCGTAAACATTTATAAGAATTGATTTAGTACCAGAAATCCTAAAATTATTAAATAAATAAATATAGACTTTGTTCTTGTTGTTCAAATCTTTCCTATGCATTGTATAGGTAGGTAGGTAAAACTTTATTTAACTACGCTAACCCCTACAGCGAAGGCTGATTTCCAAGGGGGGCGTAGATTTAAATAGTTAAAAAATACAGTTAATACAAATTATGGTCATACATTACATTACAGTTAACAACAATTACAATACATTTACAAATACAACTAGTATATAATTATTTACATATTGAATTAATGTTAGTACTGTTCAATATTTTCAATTAACGTAATTAATTAATTAATTAATTAATTAATTAATTAATTAATTAATTAATTAATTAATTAATTAATTAATTAATTAATTAATTAATTGATTAATTGGCCAGGTGTCGTAACCATGAATTAAACCAAAAAAGAGTGTGTTTGTTTCTTGCTTCATCAGAAAGGCTGTTCCACAATTCGCTCATCTATAACTAAGACTTTTTTTAAGATATTCAGTCTTAGGTTTGGGCAAAAAGAGTTTGGTGGAAGAGCCTCGCATATTATAGTAATAAGAGGAAGACGTCCTTTGAAAAATGTTGGTTAGTCGTTTTGGCGCCAGTTCGTGAGTTATTTTATACATAAGACTTGCTACGAAATGTGTTCTGCGTTCACTTAAAGGTTTCCATTTCAGTTCGTCTAGAGCAAGTTCAGATTGACCGTGTTCGTTTTTACGGCCAGTAATAACTCTAGCTGCCCTATTTTGTAGTTTCTCGAGTCGATCAGAAAGAGTGGCACCAATGGTGTCACCAATGGTGTCCCAAACTTCGCAACCATAGTCTAGGTGTGGAAGTATAAGTGCATTATAAGCACAAATTAATGTAATATGATCCACACAAGATTTTAGCTTTCTGATCGCCCCAATTCCGGATGAAATCTTCTTAGCAATTTTATCAATATGCTTATCCCACAATAGAAACTCGTCAATATGAACTCCAAGTGCTTTTGTTTCTTTGACCTTTTTAATTGGTGTATCACCAACAAATACATTTGGAGCTGCAAGTAAATTATTTATGTTGTACCGAGATCCTATTAGTAGATACTCAGTTTTGACTAGATTAAGAGATAATCTATTTGCAGAAAGCCATTGTTTAACGTTGGTAAGGTCATGATTTATGGCCACCTCTACATCTTGCATTGACTTGCCAGATACAGTTAGAATCGTATCGTCGGCAAACATTCTTGTCGACGAGTACTCCAAACTGTTAGGCAGATCATTAATGTAGATCAAGAATAAGAGTGGGCCAAGAGTTGAACCTTGAGGGATTCCACATGTAACCAACTTCGTGCCCGACAGAGCGCCATTAACGGAGCACATTTGGGTTCTATTCGCTAAATAGGATACTAAAAGGTTTAATGATGGCTTCTGTAGGCCATAAAGATCAAGTTTCGTTAACAGGATGTCATGATTTATGGTGTCGAACGCCTTTTGTAAGTCCAGAAAAACAGCTATATTAAACAAACCACGGTCCATATTAATAAACCATTCATTTGTACTATCGGAGGCTGTAGAATGAAACTTCCTAAAACCAAATTGACGAGGGGACAACAACTCCTGTGTAACAAGATACTCATGGAGCCGGTTCGTATAATACTTTTTCAAAAAGTTTACTTACTACAGGGAGGCTAGAAATGGGGCGATAGTTGTTTAATAAGTTTCGTGGGCCGTTTTTAAATATGGGAGTGACTCTTGCTATTTTCCACTCAAAAGGAACAGTTGCACTTATAATGGCCATATTGAAAATTTTTGTCAATGAGTTTGTAATTACAGGAGCAGCAATGCGAATAATTTTAGCAGGGATTTTGTCAATTCCAGTAGATTTACGAGGATTTAGAGATAACAGAAGTCTGTATACGTATACGTTCGATTCAGATACTGTTTGGAAATTAAAGCTACTAGTTGTTGTCGTGATGTAATCCTTGAAATTTCTGTCACCATTGTCGATAGTTTGGCAATATCTGGACCAATATTGGTGAAATAATTATTAAAACACTCCGCTAAGGCCACATAAAAAAAGTTACTTGTTTAGCGTCCACCCATTTTAATTTTTCTAGGTCGGGCGGGCGGGGTTTTTTTTTTTTTTTCGTAAAATGCAACACAAAATTCTGCTAAATGCAGGAAATCCAATATATTACCACAGTCAAAACTCACTTAATTCTTTCAAAATCCGTTCATGTTTTTTAATCACAGTTCATGTTTTTAATAAAACAGAAAATTACCGTTTGACGGTCACGCGCGAACACTTTAGCTGCGAACAGGCATATTCTGGGAAGGAAACTTTGTGTAAACGTATTACATAGCTCCCAAAAGAATAAAATCACCATTTTTTCAAGTAAAACGGTCTTTTTTATAGAGAGTTTTTGCACTGAACTCGGATGGATTAAAAAAAAAAAATAAAAAATTGGAGGTCGGGGACTTTTATCAGGTCGGGCGGGGACGCTAAACAAGCAATTTTTTTATGTGGCCTAACTCTGTTGGATGTGAAATTTGTCCTCTCTGTGTTTCAAGACAATTTATTTCTCTACTTTCTTGTTTACGGTTTAGGATTTTATTCACAGTTTTCCATGCTTGTTTGGGATCATGTTTGACTTTCTTAAATTCTCCTTTATAATATGCTGCTTTTGTTTCTCGCAATGCATCAGTTACGCGATTTCTAGAGGTTTTGTATGCGTTCCAGTAATTTTCCGATTTATGTCTAATAGCAAGAGATTTAAGGCGATCGCGTTCGCGGATTTGTTTTTTAATTGTACTAGTGAGCCAAGGAACATTTGGTTTACTTTTAACTCTCTTTTCCCTGATTGGGGCATGCCTATCAAGAACTTGTACGAAAAGTGTCTTCCATGTGTCCCACATCTTATCAACGCAGAGATTGTTATCTAATAATTCCCATTCCTGACCACGCAGGTCAGCTTGGAAACTCTCAGCATTAAAATATTTTAAATTTCGAATTTCAACTTTCTTGTGACTGTTTTGTTTGCGCTGCATATTTATTTTACGAACAGCGAAGATCATGTTACAATGATCACTAATGGCAATTGGTATTACTTGTGATGTTATTAACTTAGTTGGAGTGGGAGTAAGACAAACGTCTATTAGGGAGGATGAGGTCGTGGTCACACGGGTGGGTGTGTTTATCGTTTGCGATAATTGATATAATTCCATGATTGAATTTAAATTCTTTGTGGCATTGTTTGAGGTGTCAAGCATGTTAGCATTTAAGTCACCAAGTATGTAAAATTCCTTATTTTCATTATCTATTGTTTTTACTAATTGCTCAATTGTGGCAAAAGAGTCAACAGAAGCACTTGGAGGTCTGTAAATAGTACCGACAATAAATGGTGCAGTGGAAGGTTTGCGAATCTCAACACATATAGCTTCGAGATTATCTCTAGTCAGATCTTTTCGTTCTAAATAGTTAAGGGAAGTTTTCACATATAAACAGACGCCTCCCCCTGTTCTAGAACGATCGACCCTAATAAGATCATAATTACTTATGTACATATCCTGGTTATTAATAGTATCATCCAATCTTGTCTCATTTAATGCAAGAATATCGAGACATTCATCGGCTAATATGATCTTAATTTCGTCAATATGCTTAGGTAAACTGGTTATGTTAAGCATACCCATCTTGAAACCCTTGAAATCAGGGAAATATGGGTTAAATTGAGCATACCTTACAGCACCTGGCCATGCCTTATTTCAATTACGACTAGAGTGATTACTATAATTTCTAGTAAGAGTGCTACTACCCTTTCTATTTAATAAATGTAGGCCACCTCTATTTAGGCAAGTATAATCTAAATTAGTGTTGTCTATATAGGTCTATTTGTTTTGGTCAGAGACCCGTTTAAGAATGTCATTTACAGTTTTAATTTTATTCTGGATATTAGCTTTATCTTTCCTGGTAATAATGCCCGATATACATACGTTAGTGCATGGTACGGTAGACTATCCTTTATTTGGGTTCCGAGGTTTAAGATACCCGCAGCAACCACTTCTGCCGTCTTGGCGTTATCTTTAATATTGTTAGTGCCTACATGCAATATTATCTCGTCTGGCTTTTTGCGTAGTAATGGTTTTATGTAATCTTGCATATCGTCAGCTTTACTCCCTGAAAAGGACTTTACAGATACACGTTGTTTATCGTTAGACAAGTCCCAGCCGTGAACATGTTGTAGAATTGAGTCCCCGGCGATGAAAACAAGTTTAACAGACTTATTATTCTTTGAGCCTGTTTGAAATAAATCGTTTGAATTTGCATTTGTTGTATGCTTTCTATTGTTGGTTTTGGCCTTGCCCTTGGAAAATTCAATAGAAGTTTGGGTTGATTGACTTTCTTTTCTCCTTTGTTTTCTATCGTGTTTGTTCGAATCATGTTTAAATTACTTGACCTACTTTGTCTAAAGGCCGGCGCACACTAGAGCTATGTGCTTAGCAAAATGTGAGTGTTTGCGTAAGGAGATAGCTCTCGTGTGCGGGCGATTTACGAACGACTTTTGTCATTCGTCCCACTTACGCCAAATATCTAACATGTTTGATAATTTCTGCCTCGCGTTCCAAAATCTTTCCGTGTGCGGCGAACGAAAGCTATCTGCTTACGGATTGTCGTAACAGCGCATGCGTAGTATACGAAAGTAAACATCCAAGATGGCGGCGCAAAATGAATTGCTGGCCGAGGCAATTTTAGAGGACAAACTTGTCGAACTTTGGCCTGAATACAAATGTTTATATGATGCGAGTTCTGCAGATTTTAGAAATAGGGACAAAAGGGAATGTGCGGTGAAAGAAATAGCCAGTAAGTTTGTCCTCTAAAATTGCCTCGGCCAGCAATTCATTTTGCGCCGCCATCTTGGATGTTTACTTTCGTATACTACGCATGTGCTGTTACGACAATCCGTAAGCAGATAGCTTTCGTTCGCCGCACACGGAAAGATTTTGGCACGCGAGGCAGAAATTATCAAACATGTTAGATATTTGGCGTAAGTGGCACGAATGACAAAAGTCGTTCGTAAATCGCCCGCACACGAGAGCTATCTCCTTACGCCAACAGTCACGAATGACATTTTGCTAAGCACATAGCTCTAGTGTGCGCCGGCCTTAATAGTCGAAGTGCTAGACTCACTCGGGTCAATTTCGTCATTAGATTCTGATTCTTTATCTGAGTCATGTTCTGTGGACAGGAGACCGAATCTATTTGGCGTTATTATGTCCGGTTCTTGAGCATTCATATCAGCTGCAGATCGAGCAGTTTTATTTTGGCATGCATAATTAGCAGAAATATTATGTACATTAGTTCTCGCTCTGTGCCCTGGGGTATGCCATGTATTGTGCGTTGCATCTCTGTTATTACCTCGGGTCGGTACGACACCGAGGTCTTAAATTCGGCTCCTATTTTTTTTTCTTTTTTTTTTTCTTGTTTTTTTTTCCATTTGTGTCGAGCCGCGCGCGTAGTCGAAGATCGAAGGGCCTGCGGAGGAGACGACAACTTCCGGTAAATAAGTGTACTTCCGGCAAGCATCGGCCAAAGCGAAACGGAACCCGAAGCTGTCCTTGCACAAAATCCGTCAAAATTTTTTATTTAAAACCAGAAGATGTGATAATGTTGACATAGATGTTTAGCTGGATAACTATTCTCGAGTATATGTTGATATAATGCACAATACTTCGTATGCATAGCATGGGAATACCGCGGCCAACTTTCACTTGTTATCTATTATAATTACTGACCCGAATCAAAAGTAATTATTTTCGGCTGGAAGACTACTGTACGTTGCTGCTTGTCGGGACCGTATGACAATGAACCTATCCAACGTTACACTAGACATTTGTGAGGACATGCATATAGACATAACCATAGGCACTGTAGTGCATTGTGATAGAACAGATTTCAGTTTAATTAATCGCCCTAAATTAAAATCTCCACAAGCGGAGGTCAATTATAGTGTTCTAGTTTACATATTATCATTAATGATAAGGTTTACTCAAATAGCGTATTGGATAAACACGGGAATAGAACTTATGGTGTATTCTGCACATGCGTATATCTAGGATAAAATCCCACAAGCGCAAACGAAACTATTTCTCTATAAAATTGAACTGAAAAGACTCACAGCGACCGTTTCCAACAGTGCTTCAGGCACCCGACGACACCGTATGGGGGGCCTTTAGCACTGTCACCTTCTCATCTTGGGATGTTCACGTTATCGCGTGTACATGTCAGGGTGACGAAGATGCATTATTGCTAATAATGTCTGTGTGCACTGATGCACGCTGCATTATTTTTAATAATGTTGTGTGCTATTTTAACGCGTACATAGAATATGACGCGTATAAACATTTACCCCTGAGCCGGAATTTCCCTATACAACCAAAAAGGCCGCTCCCGTTTTTCAGTAGAACGTTAAATGAAAACTTCTCGACATTCGCTGATATAATGCAGAGAGAAAACAATAGGTTTGATGAGGGCCAGTAATTATTGTCAATAAAATATTAAAACGGAGCTTTGATTAACTGATTCACCATTTATACTAGTGAACTGTTAAACTATCGTGATTTACACAATTTTTGGATATTTACCAGACGATCCCCTATCCACCGACCCGAGGTTAACGCCGAGTCGGCGTCTTGTTTAATGATATAGATTTGCTGTCTTCTTGCAGCAGCTTAAGGGCAGTGACTAGACTCAATTTCTCATCTTCAATGTTTTTGATTTTCGTATTTAGATCCGATACCATATAAGAACGATTGTTAAACCTTTCTTTCAAGGAGTCGTTTTCGCGCCTAAGTTGCGTGTTTTCATGTCTAAGGGTAGCGTTTTCATGTTCTAGGCTTGTTAGACAATATTCAGTTACTTTAGTGCCACCATTCAAACTCAGTTCTTTTAGCTGATCAAGCTGTTCGGCAAAGTTCTCCTTTATTTTTTGAAGCTCTGCTTTCGTTTCGACAATATGTTGGTTTAGTTTTAATTTAATCTCGCTTACCTCAGTAGGGAGTTCGTTACAGACTACCTGAGCGATTGTTTCACATTCGACAGTTGTTATATCGCCACCGTCGTCCTCCGTGTCATTTTGAGCTAAGGCGATGCTGTTGTGTTCTTTCACACCTTCTTCCTTCAGATTTGAAATTACTCGTTCAGTCAGGTCTTTGCCCTTTTCTCCTTCAAAGGATATATTCATACTTTTGGTTTGCCATGTAACAGCCAGTAACTCACTTTCAAACGTCCTGTTGTCCTTACCATCGGTTATTTGATTGTAAAGTTAATAAAAAAAACAAAAATAAAAAAACTAGCGTGCTCGCCAAGTTCCGCGAGCAGTTAAAGCGAGGCGTCATCCAATGGGATGCATGCATCTAGTAACTAACAGTGAACTCTATATATATATATATCTGGAACGATAACAGCGAGCGAAAAGTGAAGCCGACAGAAAAATCACGACATAAAGTATTCGTCATTGTCTTCGTCATCAACTGTTCAAGAACTTTCTTCAGTATTAAAAATCACTTACATATAAAATTTGTAATTGTTTTGAAAGTTTTTATCACAGTTTTTATATCTTTATTCACTTTTATAAACCTGAAGATGGAGTATACTCCGAAACGTATTTATTAAAATAATTCTTACTAAGCCCATATGGTCTAATTTATATTCAAACACACGTACATATTCATTTGCATTTTGCTGGCAGGCAAATTCCGATCACACAATAAATTCTTTAAAAAATAACGTACCAGTGTATTGACTAAAAACTATAAAACTGGTAAACTAAAAACAATTCAAACAATCGCGAAAAATGGCAACGGCAAAGTCACAGTTGCAAGTCAATTTACCTACCTGTGAAATGAAATTTTCTCGCAAGAATATCTCTTTCCTTGTGCATCCAGAACGACAGTACGACACAATATATTTGAAAAAGTGATTCTTTTCTCCAAACGGGGAAGTTTTCCTCGACTTTTTTTCCGACAGGGAACTCAATGCAGTAAATTTTAGGAGCAAAACAGTTTGCTCCTAAAATGTATTGCATTGAGTTGGCCATGTTTTTAATTTTTTTTCGTGATTGCGTTCAAATTTATACTGGCCGTGCAACGGTTTGCAAGAGGGGGAATGAAACTGACGTCCAATCCGCGTAAACCTGACTTTTGAGGGACTGAGACTGACGTCCAATCCGCGTGAAAGACTGGTATCGAGGCTTCATTGTTTTCACAATCAAATGACTGAATGTTATCGTTCCAGATATATATATATATAGAGTTCACTGGTAACTAATTGCCCAGCGTACGCACAAAAACGTGGGTACACTAGCTATAACGCTGTAAATGTATCTACTCTGTGCCTGCATGCATGCGTTCAGTGTTGGCGTAATTACGAATAATTCATGTACGCGAAAGTTTCTTAGTTTAAATGAACTTTTGTAGAAGTTCATGATAAATTATTTTAAATCATTTGAAAGTTCGAGTAATATGTTGAAGCTCGAGTTGAAGAGTTTAATATTGGCAAAAATAATTTCAATTCACATTTAAAAAGTTTTACGTAGAGTTTCGTTTTGAATTTTACATTAATTAAAATAAAGCCCATATAGACTGAAGCAAAATAATATACCTACTTTCTATATTTTATAAATTGATAGTTCTGTATTTAATTGAAAGTGTGGCAATTGATACACCAGGCGGAAATCTTTGTTTAAAGATAAAGAGCAGAGCCCAGCAAATAACTTTAAATCCAAACATAATAAAAGTAAAAAAAAATTATTAGCTAACGTTTCGTTGTTTACAATACAACATCTTCAGAGCAATCTAAATGAATTTACAGGGTATGGTATATATATTTACAAAATAATGGTTTAATAAAAACGGTTAGTAGCTTGAAAGAACAAATGAATATAAAGAAGGGAAAACAACTTATCAGTAACTAGTTAATAAGTAAAGATTAATGTTAAGTGCATGGTTAGTATAGTTAAGGTTAATATTACATAACTATAAAATAACTCAAGAGGGGTAGATCTAATATTAGCATTAAGGACAGGATTAAGTTGAGATAGTAATAGGCTTTCACGGATAAGAAGATCCCACTCAGAAGTGCCTGATGATAGGATTTTGAAATCAGAAGCGGAGACTGGGTGATTGTGCATGTGTTTGTGAGCGAGTATACTAGACATGGTCAGTGGCGTAGCCAGACCTTCATTTTTGGGGGGGGCGAAGCGAACGCCGAAGGCGCGAGACCATCTATGGAGGTCCGGGGGCATGCACCCCCGTGAAAATTTTGAAATTTAGAGTCCCTGAAATGTGATTTCAAGCATTTTGGGGGTGAAATCTTGCAGAATTCCGAAGATTATAAAGTACGCTCTAGGGGGGCTCGGGGGCATGCACCCCAGGGAAAATTTTAAAATTTAGAGTCCCTGAAATGTGATTTCAAGCATTTTGGGGGTGAAATCTTGCAGAATCCCAAGATTATAAAGTACAGAATCCCAAGATTATAAAGATAAATTTTCCCAGACATTTCTAAGTTTCTACTCGCTTTTATATATGATACAGAATAAGTCTGAGAAGAATATTCATGTTATCATAATGCATATACATGTAAATCTAAACTAAATCTATTCCTCTTGGAACCATATCTACAACTGTTTTAACGAGATTTTAGAAATCAAGTTCTTCCAGTATTTCGTCGTTTTCCTCAGTCGAGACGTACTTAATCCGTTTCAGCTTCGAGGATGTAACGTGTACCCCCCTCCCCCCCATTTCTCTACGGATTTAGCCTTTTTCAGAGAATAGTTTTTTTGCGATTGGGGGGGCGACAGCCCCCCTTGCCCCCCCCTTGGCTACGCCCCTGGACATGGTTGAGATAGCTAGAGCGTTCTTTTCCAGTCAATGGCCTAATGTTTATGTATATAATATGTATTCTTGTAATACCTATAAGTAATTATGTAATGTAAGTTTTTGGTGGGACTTAATTAGGGACTCACGTCCTGTTGTCCTTACCATCGGTTATTTGATTGTAAAGTTAACAAAAAAAAACACAAATAAAAAAACTACGCGTGCTCGCCAAGTTCCGCGGGCAGTTACAGCGAGGCGTCATCCAATGGGATGCATGCATCTAGTAACTAATTGCCCAGCGTGCGCACAAAAAACGTGGGTACACTAGCTATAACACTGTAAATGTATCTACTCTGTGTCTGCATGCGTTCAGTGTTGGCGTAATTACGAATAATTCATGTTGAAACAATCGGTTTGGAAAATATAGGTGAGGGATTGTTGCATGCATGTATTTCTTTTTTATAAATTTAATAAAATCAAACAACCAACAGGTTCCCAGTTGAGTTGAATTTTGGCTTTTTCGATCACGAAACCACAGAGAAATGTCATCTTTCGGCTTTCTCAAGCTACTGTGTCAAACAAATGCTTCTAGCCAAGCTTTCTTTGGGTAGCCAGCTTTGTTTTTGTCTTTTTACTAATTACTAGTCCTTTTACCGTTAAACACAACCTCAATACTTCATGTTATCCGTAGGTAATTGTTTGATTTTCGTGTCTTTTGTATGTTGTCTTCCCGCGCAAAAATCAAAATGTCAGATTTACTAGAAGGCTACAAGAAGCGAAAGCTTGATTGGAAATTTAAATTAGTTACATACCGTATTTGCTTGATAGAACGCCGCACACGATTGAGCCCCTCCCCCCGAATGAGCGCCACATTTGAGATTTTTTTTTTCAGAGTGCCGCCCCCGAATGAGCGCCGCACTAAACAGTGTAACAACTTTCCGCCGTCAAAATGGTAGCCTGCTCACAGACGTTGTAGTTCTTACGCCGAGCGACGAAATACTACCGTCTGCTTACCCGAGCGCCAAACTGAATTCCGCTACGTCAACCAATCAGAATTTACCTTCCAAATTCTGGAAAGTGACGTCAGTTGATTGACGTTTGTTATGAGCAACAAAAACTTTTATTGCTTCAACTGAAAGAGCATGAAAAAATAAGCCGATTGGCCGTCTAATGCTCTACTCTGTCGCATCTGTTTCCGAAGTTATACGCAAAAAAGTGCAAAATATTAGTTGCTGATTCAGCACAACGTGTGACGTCATTAGTTGGTAAGCATGTTTATTGAATAGTAAACTGAAACATAGCTCAGTTATTATTGGCTCAAATCAAATGAAATTTTGCATACGGATAGTACATGATGAGACGCATGGGAAAATACTTCTAATTTTGTTGTCAAAGTGCCACAGTCGTTCCCAGTCCCCTTACACTGATTTTGAATAACTAGTTGCATTTATTCAAAATACTTGCGATAGATGAACCAGGCGGAAATCGTAATCTTAGGATAAATATTAATGCCCAGCATAAAATACGTAAAAGAGCCATAACAAAAATATAGTTTAAAATATTTATTAGAAAGCTAACGTTTCGTCTTTAACTTAAGACATCTTCAGAGCAATGACATACAAAGCGAAAAACACAGAAATATGAATAAATTACAACTATTTACAAGATATAATTGTTTTTGTTTGTGGAGACACCACGTAAATTTATTACTGCAGTAATAAATTTACGTGGTGTTTCCACAAACAAAAACAATTATATTTTATCGCCATGCAAACATTCAAAGAACTTATATTTACAAGATATTATATTACAAAAGTAGAAAGAGGAATGGATCAGAGTAGAAGTAGAGGGACCGAGCTGCCCTGTAAGTTGAGAGAGGGTTTGAGTTTGTTAATGGAAGACTTTCTCGAATGAGGAGTTCGTCTGGAGAAGAGCAACAAGGCGGAGTGACCAGTGCTATCAAGATGGGAAAGGATACTAGACATGGTCGGATTGCTGCTTTTACTGCCTGTTAGAGGAGAAACACCCAAATGTTCAGAAACTCGCGTGTGCAAGTGACGGACCGTTTGGCTCAAAATTCCTAACGCTTTAAGATCTTGTGTTGTGTATTCCTTCACGTGTCGTTGCTGTTCCGCAACGTATTTGGGCCAAATGGTCCGTCACTTGCACACACGAGTTTCCGAACATTTGGGTGTTTCTCCTCTAACAGGCAGTAAAAGCAGCAATCCGACCATGTCTAGTATCCTTTCCCATTTTGATAGTTGCAACCATACGGTTGCAACAGCTGGGCATTCTGTTGTCGCTGTCTAAATATTGCGGGCGCATTTCTTTAACAAACATTTTGATTCTTCGAACGCTGAAAATATGC